TTATACCTCAAATAGCTTGCAAGTTGATGATGATTATGGATCTACAAGCTCAAGCCAAACCAAAGAAACCTTCAAGTGTTCTTCTTCATTCAAATCACCAAAAACACCACCAAAACTCACTTCCAAGCTCAAATTTCACAAATGGCAGTTATGGTTTCGTTCTTAGGATTTAGAGAGGTGGAGGTTGGTCATAAGAAGATCCATGAGTGAATTAAGGTGATTAAATATGGCACAAACCCTTAAATTTAGGGTTTGCCCATGTTAGTTGTATGTCTCGCATATGTTGAAGCCTCCACGATCCGGATGTCGAGCCAGTACCCCCGGTGTACTCATAGCATACGCCCAGCGTACTCAGCTAGGGTCTAGACCCCTAATCTTCTGAAGGCCATAACTTATTTGTTCTAAGTCTGAATTCGACGTTTTCTATATCCACAGAAAGGTAATGAGAAGTTGTTCAATTCTATCAACTTTCCTTTGCCTTACAACTTCCCGAGCCTAAATCCAAAACTTCATAAAAGGCCCGAACTATCACTTTACCGCTAGACCCTTCGGCTTCAAAACACAAACCAAACACGCGGTACCTATAACCTACATTATCCACCATCCAAATGGGCCTAAACATCTCCTTCCAAGGCACGAACCCTTATGATACTTGATCACCAAGTCACAGTCCCGAATTATGGAATGACCCAAAACAGAGTGTTACATTAACACTCTCAACAAAATTAGTTTTCCATGATTTTACATATAACTAAAGAACCAGAGGAAGAGGAAAAACAAAATTTTTTAGAAGAGAATAATCGCGTGTCTCCTAAATTGATTGTAGGAGATAGAATATATTGTCTACCAAACGATTAGTAATATGCAATCACCACATTTTGCTAATCGATTATGCAGATTATGAAGTGACAAAGAATCATGTCGTGAATAAGGAGATCGGATATAACATTGATTTCAAATGGATATTTTAGTAATTTAGTTATAATATAATTTAAAGATATTGTTTTTAATTTTTAAGTATGATTAAATTAAGTATTTTGGTGTGTGTATATATATATATATATATATATATATATATATATATATATATATATATATATATATAGAGAGAGAGAGAGAGAGCTAGGTTCAAATGTTTTTAGCAAGTATTGTGTGCCTAAATGCACCAATGAGAATTCAAGAAATAATAAACAATTAAATAAATCATTTAAGGGTATTCTAGACATTTTGTACTTTTTAATTAAAGAATCATTTAATTGAAATCCTGCAATTAAGGAAATAAAATCAATAATTTTGACCTAGTCTCTCTCTTGCATCGTGTCTTATATTCAAGGAATTACCAAGATGAATGACCGACACCCCACAACACAACCGATCAAGACCTTGATTTCTTCTTTCTTCTTCCAGTCGACACACATCACAGATAGAAGGAGTCGATCGCTTCTTCGTTTTTTTCTGATGCACACACACGAGATGGAGAAGAGAAAGCACGACCCCTTTTCTTCCCTCGTAACGATCGATTCTTGATCTCGCATAATATGGAGAAGAGAGAACACGAGGTACATGCTGTTTCTTTTCCTTGGATTTCCCCAAATATGGACCCTATTTGTAAAGGAACAATTTCCAGTTACTCGTTTTGTCATCTGTGATCAACATAGATCACAGGTTAAATTCAATTTTGTAAATACTTTGGCAATTTGCAGGAAATACTCCCAATTCCCATGGACAACCGAAATGTCTAGTACAAATCTGTTAGAATTCATCAATGCCCACCATGTGTTTGATGTAATTACTGAACCAGGAGTACAACAAATTATCTCTATCAATGTTATTATTTGTGTGCTATAATGTTATTGGAATTTGATTTTATGTTTGTTCATAGGTTTTCGTTACAATAATGATTCAGTGGCTGTGGTTAAAAAAAATGGGGGTTCTACCATTTTCAATCAAAACCGAAGCCACATTTATGCTTTTTTTTCCTTCGATCGTATGGAAACCGAACACAGGAGATATACCCTCCTGTGTAACTCATTTGATGTTGATGGTTCTGAATTGGTTTTTTTTCATTCATGATTCATAGAAAATGTGGTGATTTAGGGAGCGCCCTTAAAGTGTTTGATGAAAGGCCATAGAGAAATATGACAATCTCACATTGTATACATGGTTAGTGATGGAATCACCGGTTAATGAGGAGATGCTGGTAAGTTTACATGAAGTTTATTGATCTTTGATTAAGTTTTTTGAGTTGGGTTTTGTAATTTTTTATTTTTTTTCAGAAATTCAGAGACACCATTTAAAAATAAAAATCTAAATATTTTAAATTAATTATCCCTAAAAATCCGAAAATTTCCTTTTTTAATATAGGTTAATTGACTAGAATGCTCTTATGCTCAAATTTATGTGATTATATGGTACATGTTATCATATTCTACTATTATAGACCCTCAGATCATAACCTTTGATTATATTTCATCCAATGGTCCAGATCTGTGCATTCTGGTACACAATAGTTACTAAAAACAAAATAACCTAACCCTATATATATATATATATATATATATATATATATATATATATATATATATATATATATATATATATATATATATATATATATATATATATATATATATATATATATATATATATATATATATATATATAAGTTTATGGGTTTTATAAAGACATGCATATAATTTGAAGTTTTATAAGGATGTAGATATAATTATGAAAGTTTATAAGAATATAGATAAAATTCTCCTTTTATTAAATAACAAAATTGAAAAATTAGTCGTTGAACGGTCACAAAGGAGAAAAAGAAGAAGGTTTCAACCAGCTTAAGCAACCTGTTTCTCTACACATTTGGTGGTGTTGCACCATTTGGCTCTTTCCATCCACCCTTGAGTTTCACAAAATCAGTAAATGGTGTGTTGTTAATTCTCTAACCAACACATCGCTTATTTTCAAATGCAATGTAATGTACATTGTCTTTGTGATTGGTATTTTGTATCTCTTTAAAGAAATTGGTTTGTCATGACTCATGATGTAAATTAAAAAGGTCTAAAATACAATAAGCTAATGCTTTCTGTTGCCTTATAGTCGATAATGTTTAAGAAACGATAGCAAAAAATCAATACAACCCGTCAATTCAACCATCCCAAAGTTGATTGAGTTGAAATTTTCAATCAATGTAATTAAACGAGTCAACTCAATTATATGTTCAAATAAAAAAGTTAGGTTAATGACTTAATGTTTTAAAACCTGATGCAGAGTCGTTGACCCATTTAAATATGTATTTATTGATGTTTTACATGTTCGTTAATCTTCCAAAAGATACAAAAACAAAACCATAAAGTCATACAAGTTATACGGACAATTAAGTCGTAGTTGATTTCTTTTTTACCTTTGAGCAATTACTTGGAGTTTCAACTTATTTAACTAAGTTTAAATGTTTTCAATTTATGTAAATAATGAAATTTAAATGGTTCAACATGTGTGCGTCATCTAGTGATTGCGTTGAAAAAAAAAAGTAATGTGAGGTCAATCCAATCCGTTTATCTTGGGTTATGTTGAAAATATCAAGTTATCAACCAAACTAATCAACTCAACTTGTTTTGTTAACACTGTGTTTAAAATAAACATGTATGTAACATATTTATCGTTGCTCATGGTGGTTGCAAAATGTTCTTAATACATATTTGCACAATTTTTGCTTGTATTTTTTGGTTTTAGTACTTTTGGTAATGGTTATAAAGATAAAGTTTTTTGTTCTCGACTCTTGAGAATGAATGATTTCAGAAAAACAATTTTAGGCATTATCCAATCATAATAATGCTTTTCTTTTCTTTCTTGCTTTTAGGCTTCACATCCATGTATGTTCGAAAAACAATTTGAAGGAATTATACTCTTTGTTTGATTTGTTGTAAAGTTCCAGTATCTTTGGAAATATACATTACCATGTTTTTTTTCGGATATTTTCTTTTGTAAAATCTCTATTTCTTTTTCCAAGTTTTTTCATAAATAAATAAACCTTGTTTTACAACATAAGTTAAAACTAAAACATCCAAGAAAACCTTGATTGGGAGTCTTTGTATTTAACTGTTTGACATCACCAATAAAAAAGAAAATTGCAAGTTGAAAGATCTTTTCAAGATTTTTAAACTTTAATGATTAAACCAAAATCGTTCGGCAGTCTTTGTCTTTGTATTTGCTTTTAACTTTTTTTAATCTTCACGCCACACTTGAGTTTCCATCCTTGAAATTATTTTCATTAAACTTTCTTCACAAACCAATCATTATTTTCTTTTAATAATATACAACAAAATAATCAATTATACTTAATTTCCTCAATTATAAAAGGTTGTTCCTTTCTTTTTCCTAGTTCCCCTCTCTCTATCAGTCGAATAAATTAGTCGAATAAATTGTCTAAAAGAAAGGTAGGTTATGTTGACGTATTAGTTGAAGAGGTAACTGACATTTACACAAAAACTATCTGATAAATTAGTTGAAAAATATAAAATGACATTAAAGGTCATGAAAAGCTAGCCAATTAGCTTTTCAAAAAGCTAGCTCTTAAGCTATTTTTTGATTTGTCAAACATGACAATATAAAAAACTCGAAAAATAAGATAGCTTATCAGCTAGATGTGGCGCGCTAAACATAGCCTAAATGACTGTTTTACCCTTCATTTTTCTTACTATATTGAATAATATGTCTAAATGAAACTAAATGTCCATTTTACCCATGCATTTCATACAACAAATTTCAAATTCATCACTTAAAATAATATTCATCAACTTTAAGTCATTAAGTCAGTTTTCTGGCTTAACCCATTTAGTCATTCTATCCACAAATCATTGTAAAAACCTTTTTTTTTCCTTTTAAGTTTTACAAGAATTGCCAACACAAAACGAAATCAATATTTTTATCTTAATAGCATCTTTAAGTGAGAAGCCAAAATCCACAAAATGAAAATGAACTACTAGAAACAGCTTTCTTAACATTAATTAAAAAGAGTTATTTAACCATAACAAAAAAAAAAAAAAATAATTAGAAAGACCTAAAGAACAAACTAGTCATAACTGCTAACATATTATGAAGCTTATAACATATAGCAGTTGTTCTATAAAATGGATGGATCTCATTCATTCACATGCAGGTTTTGTATCAAAGCTACTCAAACAAATAGCAAAAGCTTGATAAGCAGAAAGAGGATACCTATAATCCATGGTGAAAATATCCTTCCCAATCTTCCCAAATTGCAAAATCACCTTCTCTTGTTCAACAGCTGAAACGTTATGACTCGAGTCAACAGCAGCCACAAGTTGAAAATTCTTCACAGATGCAACAGTCACTCGCCCTTTGAAATTCAAACACCAGCATTGCAACTGTTCATGCCACCTAGGCGCTTTGTTCTTAAGCATTAAAGAGTCCAGGGGATTTGAATTGGGTGTTGTTGTTGATGATGATAAAGATGACGTGGATCTGTCGATGGTTTTGAAAGGGAAAGATTTTGGAGTTGGAGCAGTGCCTCCTTCTTGGATTGAGGAAATGGGTATGGAATGCATTGTGCAGTTCATTCTTCTTGGGCCACGTGTTCGGAGGACATTTAGTTCGTATGAGATTGTGGCTATGGAGTAGCTGCATGAAGGTAGTTTTGGGGAGACTTGTTTTTTCTGGAATCGTTGGCTTGATCGGTTGTGATTTGTGGTGTCGGTTGGTGGTTGGCTGTCGTAGATTGTGAACTTGGTTCCAAGGAAATTAGATCTGTTTTTTGAAAGAAAAAAGGAGAAGAAGAAGAAATGATTTGGGAGTTGGGATTTGGGAATTGAGATGAAGGATGAAGGATGTTAATTTGATGTAACGTACCTTAGTTTGCCAACGTATGTAGAGGAAGCTCGTGAGAAATCATCTGCGACTAAAGAAATGGCGAACTCTGTGCTTGTTGCCCTTCTGATTTTCTTGGCTGCTAATAGTAGTTTATCGCTTTCATCTTCAGCTGTTGAAGTGTGGATCATGAAGGTTGTTAGATTCAGAAAAAGAATGGTGGAAGAAGAAGAAGAAGAAGAAGAAGATGATGATGATGAATCGTGACTTACATGGGGTTAACCCAAAGTATAATCGGTGGGTGGAAGTTGCTCTGTCTCTTCTTATGTAGCATTGAATTGGGGAATCTCGAGGGCCAGGCTATTATGGAAGGTGAAGAAGAAGAAGAAATTATGATTCGTTTGAGGTTTACTTTAGTATTGATGAACGTAAAAGATTGGGATCAAAGAAATTACCTGTTTCAATGAGATTGGGAAGGTTAATCGACCACACTCTTCAGGGGTTTTGACGATTTCCTTTGTGATATCTCTCCATGATTTACAAACGGATGCACAATAAACGACTACAGTTCTTGCTGGCCATGAGGTTTCGCTTTCTTCAACCCTACGGATTATGTCAAGAAGAAGTTCAGGAGGGAGATTTGCCCACTGGCCTTGGTTTATCAGTTCTAATGGAGCTACATCTGGAGCAATGTGTGATCTAGTTCGGTTTCTCCAGTGTCTTCCTTCAATTCCTCTTCTAGATAAACTTCCAATTCCATCTCCCATCTCCCTCAGCTCGCGCACAATGCTTTTGAAAGACATCGTGATAATGTATCATGCCAATCTCAATACTTTTCTGGAATTCATTAAGATATACGTAAGTAGCAGCAAAAGTAAACAAAAGAATCAGAAACTATGAGTGATGGTTTAGGTTTTTTGTTGATTTTGTTATGGAAATGGATAGATCTGAGCTCATGAGTTCAGTTACCAAAAGTCTATTGCGGATTTTGAAGATGAAATGGTGTGAACTCAAAATCTGAACGAAATTTAAGCCAGATTTCTCACATATTATATTATATATAACTTCCGCTGTGAACCAGGGTTTTTGTTATTGATCAAAAAAACAATATATGAACAATTATACAGTAAAATCGCACTATTACCAATATAACTTGCGATCTACTTGTAGAAATGATGAAAAATTAGGGATTTTACAAATTTCCGAAATGCAATAAAATTAAACCTGTCTAAACAAGCTCAAGTGAAATGAAAACAACGAACAATGACAGACCTTCGAATCGATCGGAAGGAATTAGAGGTAGTTGGATAATACGTTTCAGATCGGATGAACAACGGATCGGAAAATTACTTGAAATCAGCGAATGTGGTCCATGATATTTGAGAAATTAGGGTTAGAACGAACGAGTAGATCCCCTTCTTACGATGTTTGTTTTCCGATCACGGCATCGCAGCCATGGCCACCGTATAAACCGCCGCAATCTCCGGCGAGGCGTTGGAGGAAAGGATTGACGGATGAAGAGACAAACCACTCTTTTCAATCAAACGCCCAAAATCTTGACGCCCTTAAAAATATGCACCTCGGGATGCTCCATTGAAGTGTTGTTTTAATCCAATTTTTAAAATATATAAATAAATGCTGTTTTGTTTCTAACCTAAAAAAAAAATAGACATTATATGCTATACTTTTATAATTGTGTAGAATAATTGGTAAAATTAGGAAATTGTGTCCAATATTTATGTTACAATTTTTTTTCATCTTAAAGATTGTTACTTTAATTTTAGAAATGAAATTGAAGTAGAATAATTGGTAAAATCCCTATTAATAAAATTGAAGTAGAATAATTGGTAAAATTAGAAATAAAATTTTAGATAGAGTGTTACTTCAATTCTTTTTAAAAAATTACATATATAATTGTGTAGAATAATTGGTAAAATTAGAAAAATGTGTCCAATATTTGTGTTATAATTCTTTTGAACAATTTAAGTATTATTAATAAAAAATGTTAGAAAAATTACAAAGTAACTAACTTTGTAACATTCGATCAAAAAAAATGAGGCCATATTATCAAATAGGACATCTTTTAGGTGGCTTCTTTGTTCGAAATAATAATTCATTTTTGGGAATAAAGAGATTATGGCTAAGCAAGAGATAAGAATAAAGGCATCAAAACATTTTCGATGAGTTATGGTTAGAGTCACATTATCATACTAATGAATCAAATCTTTTACTTAAAGTGAGAGTGTAGTGACTTCCCAATCTATGCATTTCAATTTGAGAATATGGAGACCCCAAGGATATCCGAGTCCCTCCAACGGCCGATTAGTTGATCCCGTTGTGAACAAACAATCGAATCAGGATCAAAAGACCATATATCTAGATGATTGGTCAAGTGGACAAAATCTAATATAACACAAATTTCCTCCAACTGGGTTGTCTCAATGCATGTCATATGCATCCTACACCGATTAACATCTCACGTACTAATAGGTAACCAATAAGGAATCATACAACTTTTATCCATATCGAAAATGAGTAATCTATGAAATCATTTGCTCCTAAAAACTAGTGAACAAACCATTATCTGACTTATTTACAAATTAATACATTTTGAATTCAATTGACAAGTATTTAGAACAACATTACTCCAAACTCCTTTAATTTTGATCTTATATAAATTCATACCCGTTCCACTCCATGAATTGATTTTATAAACAACCCATAAAAAATTTGATTCATTCAAAATGAACGCTAGCATGGTTTCAAATCAAAGCTATGTTAAAAGCATAAGCATGAACCAAATTCATTTTTGGAGCCAAGAACTTTTTCATTTTATCCAAAACATTTCCTCATCCCCTACTTCACACCCCACACCCCTTAAACGCGGACTTAAAAACTTCCCAAAACGTAAGGACCACATCTGAAGTTCCAAAAATTAGGTCAAAGAATTTCAACTTCTGATAAATAGTTATATTTTGCAATAATGAAAGTCAAATTATTTCATCCATCGTGTTGGGGTTTGTCATTGTGCTCCTCGTGTCTGAATCATGTAGAGAATATTAAGCATGTTTTCTTGGATTTCGAGGTGGCAGTTCAAGTGTGGAAGTCAGTTAGTCAACGGGTTGATTTTGATGTTGAGTATTTCTAATGTTTATGAGGTGTTCGACCGAGTGGATTCTACAAACCTCTTAGTTACCAAAAAAAATCAATTTTGAAAGTGGTTTGCATGGTAACGATTTTAGTATTGTGGACGTATCAGAATCTGACTACATTTGGAGCTAATGAGTTTCGTAAGGACATTATTTTTTATAGAACTTTTGTTTTAATTTCTCATTTACTTGGTTTAGACATAGATTTCATACATTGAAAATAGATCGGATTAACCAGATTAAGTACCCTATATTAACTATTACTTTGTAATTGGGTTCCATTTTCACCACCTATAATATTTGGTTTTTTTTCTTGATCATGAGAATAATTAAGAATTAATTGTTGTGAATTATTTTATGTCCTTCTTATGTTTAAAGAATTATAATCTTTTAATAATTCTCATGGTTGATACAATATTAAGAATCATTTTTTTTAAAGTAAAACTTTTTATATATCATGAAAATCGTTAAGAATCGATTTATCAATTAAAACTTCATGCTTGATGATAAAAATGATTATGAATGACATTTTCGTAAGAAATTATTGTAGAATACGACATTAATTAGATGTCATAATTGGCATTCTTCAAGAATAGTTTAACATTCTTGAAGAATAAGACATTCATTCCAAGTACATAACCAACATTCTTAAAATAGTAAAAAAAATCTTAAATAATAAAACACGAAATAAAATAGGAACCTAAAACTCAAATATAAAAATATGACATTTTAATAAGGATAAAGATAGTTTCCAATTGCAAATCTAACATTCTCATGAGAATAAAAATAAAGTACAATTACATAAACCTTATGTTTCGATGTGTATACAATATGAGGAGCTAACTACAACAATGAAGGTGTTATATGTCTGTGTTGGCTTGCTAGAAGGTGGATAAGGAATCACATTGTGTGGAGCTCTTCTTTGTTCTATAAGATGAGTAGGATGAGAAGATTATCTAGTGCCCTTGATTGAAAACACATCATCCATCCTTTGGACCCTTCAAGCACCATTTATCTATACTACCTTCAAGCCCTTGATCATAACATTTTGTGAGAATAAATGCCATGAAATTGAATTATATGAGGATAATGTTTTATGCGGGAATGGATGTTGTCAAGCTTTAGCCCATGTTTATAACCTGCAAAAACAAGTGAAAAAAAATAAAAAATTAAGCAAAAAAATCCATGATTTCAAATGCTTTTTTTGTCTCTCGGATTAAAAAAAAAAAAGTGAAATCGTTTCATCATACCATCACAATGTGCATTCTGAAATAATATTGCGGCATGTATTCTTAAAGAAGCAATGTATTCTTAAAGAATATTGTAGTATGTCATCATTTATTAAAATTCTTAAAGTGCTAAGAAACTTATCATCATCTTCCCATAAATTTGATTCATAGTTGTATAAATTGTAAGAATTGGATGACAGCTCAAGGTCTACACAATGTAATGCCCATAGATCCGGGTTAGTCAATTTAGAGACAATAAACATCAAAATTAAGTTTTTGATGGTAGATTATTTATAAGGGTTGATCTTTTCCAAGTGTTATTATATGTTACAAGGGTTCCGTACATCTAAAGAACGCCGAAATCCGAGTTATAACGAAGAAGTTATGACTCGTCGAAATTTTTCGGCAAAACCGACACGGCGTCAGGAGACGTAAATAATGAATTTATGATGGAGGACTTTTTAGCCTTATAAATCTAAACAAAAGTTGTAGTATACAAAAAACCGAGAACATACAAAAAAAGAACGCCCAAATCTGACTTCGTATGAGGAAGTTATGAATTTTTTAAGATTCGGCATAACAGTGCACGACCTGAAACTCGAATTTTAGATCGAGTGGTTTTTGGCCTACGCGACCTAAATGAGAGTTGAAGATATCATTAATAGGAACTCAATGATAAAAAAGACAGACGAAAACGGAGTCTGTGTGAAAGACTTACGAATTTTTAGCGATCATTTAACAGTATAATCTCCTCCTACTATTAAATTTAAGATCGGTCGAGAATTAGCCAATGCAGTCAAAATGAAAGTTATATATCTTATTTTTACCTACTCTTGGATATAAATAATATCAAAAACGGAGCTCGTATGCGAAAGTTGTGAATTTTAGAAGTCGGAAGTGTGTTGTGCGAAAATGGGTGGCGTAGCACAATCTTGGCCATTGCTTTCTCCCTAAGTCTTGCCACCAGATGGTGACATGTGGCACCAAGAATGGATGAGAACCACGAACTATTCTAGACAGTCCAGTGGAACACTAGCAGACTCGCAATCAATAGGTGTTGTGAACGATGTGTTCACCGGTGTACTTTAAAAACCCATTGACATGCATTGCGGGTCGACTCTTGAAAACGATACTATTAATAAACAAGATCACCCTAGCAGTTGTGCCCAAAGGACAATACCGACAATTATGCCTCATAGAGAATGTCATAATTCTGGCAGCTGCGCCTAAGTGATAGAACTAGCAGCTATGCTTGACAGCTGTGTCATTGACAACGATGGACTTTGTACCTATTCCTTAGGATAATCCTTAAGAATAAATGAATGAGAAATAGTTGATTCTTAGGGTAGATCCTTAAGAGTAAAGAAGATAATGGGATGGGTAATTGGGTTAACTGTTTGATGATTAAACATAATAATTATATTA